AGAAACATACACAAAAGACTGCTTGGAAAAAAAAAGAAACAAACAGTTATATCTGCATTGAAAAGCATGGGATTATTTAAAATTATACTTGAAAAAAATACTAACATCATTTTTAAAATAAATAGAACTTTCTAATAATTCAAATGCGTGCAAGTCAAAGCACCACCAACTAACTCAGGGGCACAGCTTCTATCTGAAAAGGCTTGACATTTGTTCACAGTACACTCCACACAACAACAAGAAAACGCAAGATCTGTGATTCATGATTGAATGTATTGCCATTAAAGGCTGGACCAAACAATTTTCGAACCAAATGATACAAAATGGCATCATATGTTAAATAGAAGAACCTTTTAGGTTCATTGAGTGATTACAACTAAAAAAAAAAAAAAAAAAACAGATGGTAATTTGAGAAGCTACGTGGTTTCAAAGGAACTAAATGAAAATATCAAAAGAGAACATTTTCATCTGCCAACTTGAACAACACAGTGAAGCTGCTCTCTAATGGTGCAGTCAGATTCTGGCAAATATCTCCTTAAGAGACAACTTCCAAAATAAACTGTTTTGATTACATAGATTTTACAGACTTCCTTTTAGCATATGTTCTATACAGAAGTGATCGATAAAATATTACTACATCAAATGTTCAACGGAATTCCTTGCTATGCAGTGCTAGCTTACTCACAAAAAAGCCACTTCAAGGACATTTTTTAAAAAACAAGTCACGTTAAGAAAAGAGAAAACCTAAAATATACTTTAAAGCACATTTTTAACATGACACATTTCAGCAGAGGAATTGAGCCGTTTTCAAAGGAAAAAAACCCAATGCATAAAATTTAAGAACAATTTGAGGAATGTCAGGAATTAACACGCTCTTTTCCCTGCTTGATTACAATGTTGGAAATCATCTCAGGAGTCTTTACTGTAGTAAGATATTGCCTGTGAGTTCAACATCATGAGTATGAATAAGCTCTTCATCAACAAAGAAAATTGGGTGCCTGTCCAAAGCAATTTTCAGCCTTGTAGATTAAGTCATTTTTTAATAAGAGTTGGAAAGAAAGAATCTAATCAAGAATGGACAAGCTGGAAGACAGGATGATTTAAAAATTCTCACCATATCATTGGTGCCAAAATATTTTTATGCAGAACTATCAGAGTTTCCAGGGATGAAATACAAAATGTTCTGAGAGCCATACAAACAGTATAAAAGATGTTTTCTCATCCATAGATTTTAACCACAAGCCCATTAAGATCTTAAAACAGACTTAAATAGAAGAAACTTTCAAGGGCTAAGTCTGGACTTTTAATGCTTTAGTGAATAAGCATTTATATATTAAAAGCCTTGACCAGAACAAACAAGAATTCTTTGTCTCAATTCAGCAATGTAGATTAAGTATAACTCTTTCAAGGATACAAAGACTGGTACTGCATATAGAGTATAATTTGAAATTGGAATGTAGCCCAGACAGCAAGATGTTACCAGCAAATACAAATACATAACACACACTTCTACCTAAAAAAAAAAAAAAAAAAAAAAGCTTTAAAATCAAGTAAAAAGAAAGAAACTACATACGAACAACTAATTTAGTTGTTCTTACAAGGTAAAATGAAATATAGTAATGCAAAAAGTTATCAACAGATGAAATTTTAAACAACAACAAACATACTATTGAGCTGTCAATCAGAAGCACAAGAACTGAAATTAATATAGGGAGTGAAATGTTGAAAACAACTGAAGCCAACAGACTAGGAACCATTTCTGTCAACTCTAACATTCAGTAATGTCATACACAGTTCAAATAGATATCAACTGTGGAGTCTGAACTATATAGCTCAATACATAGGATCATATCTATCATAACTACTGACATTGAATAGCAACTTATTAGAAGAGATGGGAAAAAGTTTCCTGAGAGATCTTGTCCCATCTTCAGCTCCAGAAGCAATTTATATGGAAAAAAAGAGCAGACCAACACATTATTTGGAATGATCACATTTCTAATTTATCTAGCACACATGTCTTGATGGCATGCATGCCACTACTACCATTACGATCATCCCTTACACCAATCCTGCCTAATTTGTGCCTTTGTAACATACTGTTAATACTGGAGATAAGGACCTCATACATATCATAATAGTAAGAAATTGCAAAGCAACATGCTTGAGGAAGAAAAATACAACACAAACAATAATAACAGACAAGAGCAAATAGAATAGGAATTTTATTTATAAGGAAGATAAAACTCTTGAAAGAAACTTAAGACAGAAGAGGGGTAATTTATAAAATGATTCATTCACAGTAAAAGTCTGCTGAAAAACTGCTTAGAAGAAGAAATAAAAATCCCTCATTGCTTATTGAAAGCAATAAGCACTGCACAAATTGGCAGTGGAAGAATTCCTTTCTCAATTACAAAAACCCTTGCAAACTTTATCACCTTATCATAAAGACACTTACTAAAATAACCAATAAAATACACATACATCTGCCACAATGTGAGGTGCTTATGAGTTTAAAATAGCACACAGTAAATCAGGAAAGTCATCTAAAGCTTCCTCTCAGAGAGAAAAAAAAAAAAAAAAAAAAAAAAACCTAGGCAAAAAAGAAAAATTTAGATATCCCCAAAGCAAAACTGACTCAAAACAGCATTACAGTTACTCATCCAATTCTATACCAAGGGACAACTTATACCTGAGATGAGTTTCAAACCGCAATTAGTAGTGTGAACATGGAGTTCTTGGACATATTAACTAAAAACAAAACAAAGCAAAACTAATATGACTACAGCTAAATCAGTGTTAAGAGACTATAAATGTATAAATGTTTAAGAATGTATATTTATTTTGGTTTCACTAAACACACAGAATTTTCCTCCTGGGGGATAGAGAACTTTTCTGAAGTTATAGTTTTGTTCTGACAATCCCCACATGAATACAAACAATTTTGGCATGGATCTCTCGGTGACTATGAAAGTAGGTGAATGACTTCTGGATTAAAAACGCTCAAACTCAAGCTTGAAAATCTTAGCACGCTACTTAAGCAAACAGTAATAGCAGAACATCTAACAGCTGATTTGAGCACTTTTTGATTTAAAAAAAAAATAAACAGTAAAGCAGCATACTAATAAACATCTTTGCTCATGCAATCAGCTGCTTTTTGTTCTTCATGTTTAGCTGCTATCATTAACAAGAAACGTTTTCAAGCTCTGATTCACAGACTATGATTCATGGGAGAACCAGATCTCAGCATACAGTGGAAACCCACACAAGTTTTTTGCAAGTTTGAATTTGTAATACTTTGCATCAGTTTGACATAAACAATATAGGAAAGGTAAATGCAGAGAGTAGCAAATTTTGCTTCCACTGTTATATATAACCCATTGAACAACATCTACCTTATCTGATCTTTTAAGTAACTAAACCAAATTATCTGACACCTGCCTAGACTTTCATATCATCAGTAAAACAGTTGTCTTCATAGTCTTGAGCAATGGAAAGTTTACTTGCATTGTCCTTGGTATCTTTAAATCAACAAAAGTTATCTATTCTACATTTTCTGTTAACATATAGCTTTATTTAATATTGCCTAAACTAATATTTGTCTAAAATGTCTAAATACAATATATAAAATGTCTAAATAAAATATATAAATTATATAAAATATCCGAAACATTGTGAAAGAAACATATATATATGATATAACATATCAGAAACATTGTGAAAGTAAGATAGAAGCAAGGTAAAATTTTTTAATTATGAAGATATAAAGCAAGTTATACAAATAAAATAATCCTCCATATTGTTATGGAGGATTTGGAGTCCTATAACCATAACAAGCATGAGACCAGCCCTCACTAACAGTAGAGAAACAGGAAATTAGAGACCTCAGATGATAAAATAGTGTCGCTCTTTGCTCTGTGTCTTCATTGATGGAAGGAACAGAAATTTTTAAATAGGATCAAGAATACAGCACTAAAAGCAATCTAGGGCACATCAGAGCACAGAGTAGCATCACTTTAATAATGGGTTTTAAAGACTCTCTTAAATATATTTGTTTATAACACATATTAGCTCTGCCTTGATAGATTAAAGGAAACTTATTTTATCTTGTCTACTAACAAAATTATTTATAAACAATCTAATTCAAATTAGCTGCTTTATCTGGAAAGGGAGAAAAACATATTTTGCACTTGATGATTCTAGCATAGCCAAGCAATCACCTTCAAAGTTTTAGGATTGTCTGAGACTGTATTACATCGCACATCTGTCCTATACTGCCCCTCACAACCTGCTCCATTACAGTAACGAACACACTGCCAGCCTCCTGCAGTAACTAATTTATCTTTATAGGAAATACCAGGAAAACAGGAAATGGCATTCAGTCTCATTCTCTTTTTTGGGGGACAGAAGGCTCATGCACTATGTTTGCCTGATTTCTACTTCTGTTCTCAACAGCTCTAGAATTTGACCTGCCAAATTCATTGAAGATAAAACATATTCAACTTTATCAAAAATAAATACATCTTAAAACTTGTTGAAAAACTTGCACATAAGGACTAGGTCAGAACTAGTATTTTTAACTCAGACATTTTTTAAACCAGTCTGATTTCATCTTGTATAATTATAATGTATCTTCCTTTACGTTTTGTTTGTTTTTAAGCTAGATTGTCTGCAGTTAGAGTAACAGTAGCTTCGCTTTGTGGAAATTACCACAGGCATAATTCACAAAGTGATGTAGCATTACAGGAGTAAAGAATGTATCTGTTCTACTGAAATATATTCTTAGTGTGCTCTCTTTTCTGTTTTAATTCTCTCCCTTACATAAGAATTGACTCTGAAAATAGTAAAAAATGAAAATGAAAAAAATAACACACCAGTTGTGTCTGATTTTAGATTCTAACACATAGAGCAAAATATTTCCAAGACTTTCTTGTAAGCAACATGTATCTTGATTCTTGTAATTAATTTTCATAACTATTAAATGCAGCATCAATACATACCTGCAATTTCTTCTATGGAGTTAGCTCTCATGTCCAACAAAACAGTGCCATTCAGGATACAGCTTCTCAGCTCAAACAAGCTATGAAGTGACAGTGTGGCAACATATGGTTTGCTCCACCTCTCCCCACCATCTTCTACATCTTCTTCAAACTTCAACCACCTGTGCAAGCAATCAATTTTATAACTCCAAATAACCAATTTACAGCCCCAAACAACCAATTTTACAACAGTATGCAAGAAATACAAAATACATTACTTCCATGGATATTGCAAGAGCACCGCTAAACTTGTCACAGAGATGAAGAGAAGCATATTAAGAAATAATTCTGTATTTTCCAAAAACTCCACCATAAAATGATAATGCTATGATGGAACAAGAACAATTGTGGAAAGGATTCAAGAGAAGAATTTGTTGTAGAAAAAAATAAAAGCTATACATAGTAAGAAACACTCCGTATTTAACACAAGATTATAATTTGACCACCACAGAATAAAGATATATTATTCATTTAAAGTAACATATATTGAGTTCCATGAAGTATTAATGCTCCAATGTATTCTCACCACCATAAGCTTTTCAGAAGACAGTGATATGAACTTTTGTTACTTGTTTAGCTGTACTATGCCACTCAAAATGGCAATAAAACATTATGCAAAATTTAGGCTATTCTTCATTTAAAAGTTCAGTCAATTAAAATGAAAATCCTCACAGGCAAATAAATGTGCAAGCACACGCAGACAGAGTATACATATTTGTGTATCTTTCAAGCTCTAAAATACGATCCTTACTCTGATAGAACCACCATGTGAATGATGTGAAACAGCACTTTAGAGTTCAGAAATATAACTGTATCTATTTTATGTCTCATTTGGCTCTTCTTGGCTTCTGTACCACTCTGAAGAGACCTCAATAAAGTTAAAATGACATGAAACTTACATGACAGATCAAGTCTTTTGTCTCTAGCCAGTTGGATGAACTTACTCATATGACTGCTTAATAATTCGCTGATAAAAATTACACTAAAAACGTTCAAAGAATGCTAAACATATAAACAATACTCAGAAATGCTGTTCACTTATGCAGAAGTGTTTTAAATTGAAATTAAGTCCTTCAACCTTCAAGCCTACATGGATGCTGATGAATGGAAACATGTAGCATGCCAGTCTGGCAAGCCTTGAACAGCTGCAGCAACAGCAGAAGCCTCTATCATTTGACAAAAGCAACAGCACTTGCTTATTTTATGTGGACCAAGCAACAGAGAAGTCAGAGCACCTCACATCTCGACAGCTCATTCACACTGATTTCCAGACAGCAGGGAAGTGTACAGCCTTAAGACTTCTAGACCTAAGCATTTTCTAATGTAACCAAACCCCTGAGCCCAGTAGCTCAGCAGACATGCCCATCCCTCTTCCATTCCTGTCTCACTCACCTAATTCTGCTCCTACCTGCAAAATATGCCTGTTTACCGATATTCTGCACTTTATTCCTTGCAGCCATCACTGTATACAGGATTCTACTACTTCTGATGCTAAGTTGCAAGTAGACACCACTCCTGTGACCCACTCACCAGCAGATCTGCTACCTTACTGATGCACTTGACTGATTCTAACTCCATCAGCTGCTTGCCTTCTCATCACTTCTCCTTTATTTAAAAACACCATTCCCCCCCAATTTTTCCTCTACTTTTCTCCCGTAAAAAAATCTTCAGTTTCCTGTGCTTAGGTGTCTCCTCCTCTTTGTATTTAAACATTTTCCATCCCCATTTCCTCCGTACCAGCCTGCTTTCATATCTCATCTTTGCCCACGAGTCCTTTTCCTCCGTTATATTTCTATTCTCTCCCTTCACTGCAATCTCTCCCCTCCCTCCAAATCTAGTTGGGTTATTTCCTTGTTTTCATCCCATCAGAGAAGCACCAAGGTCACAGCACACAAAAATGTTTGTCTCCACTATCCAGAGAGCTGGATAATGAATTTAAAATTAAGTTTCTAATACATATATGCAAACAAGGTTTTTCCAGTAGGATTTTCAAAAGTAACATCAAGACATTAAACATACATTAACTCATCCCCCACTGTTACCACATTCAAAGCCATGATTTGAAAGAGATGAGCTACAGCAAGCCATGAAAGTTTCAAAGAAGGAGAGAGAGGAAAAATGAAAAACAAACAAACAAAATATATATATATATATATATATCCCCCCCCCCATTTTGCAGCTACAATTGAACTTCCTAAGGAAAGACAGCTTCTAGTTTACTCATAGTACCCATATGTCTAACCTAAAAATGTGCTAGACACGTTGTGGCCATAACATCCCAAACATGATGAATTATTTTACAGATTCTTAGGAGGCAATTATCTATAACTTTGCCTTCACATCCCTTTCCATTTTTTGTCCATGTTCCTTATGCCTTTAGGAGTTTTATATTCATACTTGGATATTACCAATTCTTTCTAGCATACAATAATTTCATTTTATGCTGATTCAAACAAGAGGCTAAAAAGCATGCATATATATACAGAAAAGCAATTATCTGAGCACAGATTCTTACAGAATCTGATCAGAAATCTCATACTATCATTGGCTTCTGTTCTTGTAAACTGTCTTCAATACTACTTATATGATTATACTGCTACAATCTGCCCAATTTGGAACATAATGACTAATTCTAAATAGATTTAAAATTACAGATAAAAGAAAATCATGTTCTTAAAAGTTTCATAAAAACAGGTGACAGAACAAACAATCTCTTAAGCACCATAACTAGAGCTCATACCTTTCATGGACAAAGAAATCATCGTAAGAGTTTTAATTAAAGCTCCTCGGTTTATGGTATCAATCAGTCATGAATCTTAAAGCACAGCAATAAAATCCATAGAAAATTATTACTAACTTGATAATTATTTTTTCCATAAAGATCATATCCACCTGAGTTTCAATCTATTTGAAGAGTATAATTTCATAGGTTGGATCCAATTTCTTCCTGTTACTAAAACTTACATGTTCAAACACATCCTACATTTTTACCTAATGAACTAACAGTCTACTAAATAAACATAAATCATACCCAGCTGAGAGAATTCTGATTTTGGACTAAATTTCTATTTTAAGAAGCGTTACATGAATTTTCTCATCAAGTGAGAATCATGTTTATCACCTTTTAGCTTTTCAAAACTATTACATCAGATTATCCTTTTTTAACATGAGAAGTGAGAAATAGTATCAAAAAAAAACAAACAAAAAAGTAAATCTCTAATCTTACAGTCATTCAATCATATGTGTTCAAGTGGATTTTAAGACTAGAGTAAAAATCTCAACAACCCTCTGAACTCATGTACGAGATTCAAGGATAGATATGACTGAAATTCAACTCAGGCATGGATCCCAAGTGTGACAATTTTCCACATTTCAGTTCTTAGACAAATATATATATTTAGTTCTACAGCTTGACCCCTTAAATTGATATGATTAAGAAATAAAAGCCATTTATGATTTCCAAGAAAACACTGTTATCCCCACATACATTCTGAGCTTGTATGCCACATATTCTAATGTGCTTGAAATATATTCTCTAGGTAGTAACTAACTTATTTGAGAGGGATCCAATAATATAGAATGGTTTAATTTGTATAGTTTTTTTTTTGTGTGTGTTGGTAAAGTCTAGAACAGGTATACTGATAACGAGATTTAGTTCCTCTGATAGGACATTTGCTTGGACAAATCATGCCAACAAGACTTTCACCCAAGTTTGTTATGACAGGAAAAAATATATAACAGACATACGTGCACATAAAAGGTCTTCTAAAGCCCCTCCTCCATTGATTTTTTCCGGAGTCAAAAAAAGAAGTGTGCACACTTTACTGTAGACTTGGTTACAGAATTTCAGTACACAGTATGAAGTTTGGAAAGTTACAACACAATCTATTTCATACTCTATTATATTTGCAGCAGACCTACACCTACAATTCACTCAAGATTCAATGTTATTAATGTAACATTACAATCTGTATCAACTTCCACACCAATTTTTCCTTCCCTAGGCTGTCTAAAGATTAAAGCAAAGGAAAACAAAACAGAAGTGACAAATGTAAAGATTTTTTTTACCTAGTACCTTTGGGAATTTTGGTCCATTTGAAGATGCATTTCCACTTCTTCATAATCCTGATTTTTTGCCAGTACGTTCATTTTCTAATCAGTTACTATTAACAATTTACTTTCTAAACTATGGACAGAGGTTTATTTTCAAAGCAACTTCATTAAAATTCAAACCTAAAAATATTCCTCCTGGTTCCAAAATGTCCATTTTCCTCCTTGTCTGGAAATGAAGTGGTATTCTCCTAAAATTTTCATTTCATATGAGCAAGTAATTGAGATCCAGCAGTTTGACAAATACTTCCTTCAAATTAGCCACTCCTTTTCAGTCACGATAGCAAGCTGCTATAGGACAGATTTGAACATGAATTGCTTTCTTAATACTTGCAATTTTCAACTGCATTACTATATGTTCAATGTCACAAAATCATAGAATCATTTGCATTGAAAGGGGACCTTTAAAGGTGATCGAGTCTGGGCAACTTATTCAAATGTTTCACTACTCTCATCTTAAAAAGGCTTTTTATTATAACCAGTCTAACCAGTAAGCCAGACTTGTGATTCAGTGTGTTCTTTTTTCAGGGTATAACCCATACATCATTCATTCTCTACAGAATTGTACAGGTGGGCCATATCCAAAAATTGTTACATCTATTATATTAGTAGTACTGGCTTTTAATTTTAAATGGTACCCATTTCTTCTAGCTTGAAAATGCAGGAAAAAAATATTTTACCCCCTCTGTACCAACAAAACAAAGTTATTTCTTATTCTTTAGTGACTAATTCCATGGATAGGGCACCTTAAATTAGATCCTTGAGTGGAGGAGGCTAGGTTGCAGTGCACATTTTTGTGCACTAATTAATGTGCAGGAACACTTTTGCTGATTAGAATTGTTAATCAAGAATTGAAAAAAAATGATGAATGGCAAACAGATAGGAGTCTCCTATCTCCTGTAAGAGGAGAAAAACGTCTACAAAATGACTTACTCTTCCAAACAAATGATATAGGAATAGAGCACATTTACATAAAGAACACCAAGCTTTAGTCAAATCTTATCCACAGTTTCTTTTGATATGTTGCTATTTTGATCAAGCAAGAACAAAATGTCTCCAATACTTTTAAAAGTTTGCTTAAGATTTTTAAGGCTAATTTGTGCATGCAATTTTGATCAATCAAAAAAGAGGAAGATACAGATTAATTACCTCAGTCAATCCAAGTCCTTGTTCCAGCAGCCCTTGTAAAATGAATTTAGGACTGCTTAGTCATGTCACTCCCAATAAACACAATAATGACAGAGACAATCTCTGTACCGCTTTATTTGAATTTATCAATCAGGAGCTACAAAGCAGCACAATAAAATAAACAAATACTTCCAATGGTATTTTTCACACAGATTAACCAATTATTATAAGGCTAGTACAGCAACAAACCCAGTGTTTATAATTTTCATAGCATGTTTCTAATCAAATCAGTCTAATCAAGCCCCAGATCAAGCATCAGTATCAAAATAGTACTTTAGATTATCTAAAATTATGTATGCTAAGTGTTCAATTCTGTGTTCTATACAGAGTTGAATATTTCCTTACCTGTATTGTTAACAGTGCTTGTCATCCACAGTAAAACATTATTTATTGTTATTATTTAATATTGGCACCTCATTGTCATTCTGAACATCACCAGCCCTTCTCTCATTGCCATATTAAACATCATCTCATTTCTATCGCTGTACTCTGACATTCTGGAAGCATTCAAAGCCAGGCTGGATGGGCCTTTGAGCAACCTGGTCTAGCCGGAGGTGTCCCTGTCTATAGCAGGGGGTTGGAACTAGATAATCTTAAAGGTCCCTTCCAACGCAAACCATTCTATGATTCTGTTGTGTATTATATACTTATCTATTACTAGAGTAACAATACCTCCAAATTTCTTAACGAGTTTTAACATAACCCTACTTTTTGTCTCATTCAATAACAAGGGTATTCAATAGGAGTAATTTTTTTTATACCTTGTCTCTTTCCTTCACACTGTTTCATCTTCAAGCATGACCTCTTCAATTAACGCCCTACCCATTAATATAATTTTTGCAATAAAATAGGTTTTAAGTAATAAAATCATTGCTATATCATATCAAAAGGTTTACTAAATTAAATCAGTTCAACTGTTTCTCCTGTCACAAAAATCAATTATCTCATTAAATAGCATCAAGTTAGTCTGATGATACACCACCAAACTTTAATTGATTTTCCATTTAACTCCAAGTCTACCATTACTCCTTCCATCAGATATTGTTCTAAGTCTTGCATATCTCTGAAATCCAAATAACAGGTCCATGTTTGTTCAGACCACTTTTCTTCTTTCTTGAAGAGTGTTGCTATGTTTGTTATAATACAACTCACCTGACAGAATCACAGAAAGATAGCATTTAGTTTGTGTTATTTCAGCTTTCTGCGATATAAAATATTGCACCCTCATATTTGCACAGGTGAAGCACCTTGATTCTCATTTCCATATTGGATACCATCATTTCACTGCCATATTCTACTTTTCTAATAGCTAATCACCGTATGTCAAACGTTGTCCAAAATTTCTGGATCCAAACTAAAAAAGACCATTCACCTGGACCAGTTATTTCTGCATGGCAGCCCCCGCTCTATCTTATTTGTAAGAAGGACATTTTTACTATTTAAGTATTTAAGTTCATAGTCTATCTATCGGTCTTTCAGTTTTTAGTACTTCCTAAACTCCAAAATAGAGTTTTCCTGACTGCTTTTTTCTCACATTCTTCAACAATCTTATCTCTGTTTACCAAATTTTGATTCTTTATTTATCAGATCACAATAGGAAGGGCTGTGCATACAGATCAATTTAAATCCCTTTTTTCTCATTTATTCCTTTCTGTCTATCTTTATTAGCTATTTATCCTAATGAAAGTGGTTACAATATGTCAGAAACATCTCTTTGGTGATTTGCAGAGGAAATTTTTAAGTTGAACCAAAATAGTGGTTATTTTCCTGTTAAAAATACCATATGTCACTGATACTGGTTTTTTTTCCACAAAATAAGCTGATACTGATTAGAGATACATAGGACCTCTTCTAAGAAGTATGAGAATACTGCAAATTACTAATTTGATTAGATTTTCTCTCTGAATACTAATAAGATTATTTAGGAGCACCACTACACTCATTCTGCAGTACAATTCCCATATGAGGATTTTCTACATGTAAAGTTCTATACTTAGATTCTGCCTGCTCCTCTTATGGATGTATAAAGAAAGAGAAGCTCAAAGAAAATTCTGCAGCCCTCTGGGAAAGTAGGAATTTGCAGTAAGACTAAAGGGAAAATGAAGAGCTTAGGCACATAACTTTCCACAAAATCCCTTTGAAAATTTAAATTCTAACGACACCAAAGATGCAGTCCACTGATTTCTGGGCAGCTTTGAAGAATGTTCTCACCAAACGTTGACAGAGAAATATGCAATTAAGTCTCTAAGTAGAAAAATGAAACTAAGCATGTGTGATTTAGGTGCTTGAGTAAGGAAGAATGCAAAAACAAAATTTCTTCTCTAATAATAATTTTTTTCAGCAGAAATGCAATCTAAACAGTTCTTTCTGCATTAATTTAGCAGAAAAAGAAATCCAACATTAAGTCTCAACTGTAATTGTTCAGTGATACCTAGAATACATTTTATTGCTCCAAAATTTATCTTATTCCTTGCTTTAATCTTTTATCAGTTTCTTGACGATTCAAAAATAATACGCTGTTCAAAAATCTATTAAAATGAAGTGCTAAAATATTAATAAAACTAGGAATCCATAATTCATGTATACAGTATGTTTACTTTGATTTTTTTTCCCTGGATATTTATTTTGACCTATATTTCATAAATCCAGATGAAAACATTTGGCTCTAAAAAAACAACAAATGCTGCAGTAATACTAGCAGTCTAAGGATTAAAATTACGATTTTATTTAAGCTCTACATCCAAAATCTGTTCCTGAGCTTGCCACAGCTTTGAAATTATTCCTCAGTATACCAACTGCAGTAGATAATTAAAAAAAAAAAAAAAAAAACTTACCTTGCTGTCTCCCTCCACTCAGCATCCTCTCCTTCACGCCAACAAATTTCATCAAGCTCAGTAAAGAGATCATGAGGAATGTGTTCTTCATCATCATCTGTTCCAAGAATAAACTGCACTCTTTGTGATGGAGTATCTGGAAGAAACACAAAAATATCAGATCCAGAACACTATTTTTTCCCCAGAGAAAGAAAATAGTTAGAATTTCACAATAATATCAAGACTTTCTGACACCACTTACTGCTACACACATCATTATGAGAATATTTATACATAAACATTTTCAGATTGAGACCTCAACTTACTGTAAGGTCTAGTCTGCTAATTAAATAAAATCATCTAAAGACAGAACAAGATCTAGAGAAGTATAAACTATTGGAAGTTGGAACAATATCTAATAGTAAAAGAGGCAGCATATTTAGAACTGATAAAAGCAATTTACTCCACTGTCACAAAATAACAGTTTGCCACATTGTAAATCTGCATCTATAGATCCACCTGTTCACAAATTTGGTGAACTGCATTCTTTATTTTACCTAGCAGGAGAAAGAAACAAAAGTCAGCCTCTCTAATATCTGGGAACTTCTGTCATTGCTTAAACCTTTGAAAACTGCTTTATAGTTAGGTTGTTTCATATGAACATGTTTTTGTCTGCTCCAACTTCCCCATTTCATTCTTCCTGTCTCTCATCTACATTTCTGTTATTCCTCTATATTACTTCACAATCCTTCGTTTCAGAACACTCCACATATTTCAAGGACATACTATTCTTCCTTCATGTCACTCAGAAAATTTCTAGAACTCACAGAGTACTTTAATGTACTTGTTTATTCAGCTCAAACATTGTAAGTTGAAAACAATAATTTTAAAGCCTACTTATTAATTCACAAAGAAACCCTGGATTAAATACAGGAAAGTAGGTAAACAAAGAAATGGCTCAAGAGCTACTAAAAGCTTTAGGGAACAGAGTGGCAGGAGGAACAGTTAAGGGGACAGAAATTACTTTTAGCAAAAAAGAACAGAAGTAACTTTCACTTCACCCTTTCCCTCGTTGCTTTTTTCTTTTTTTCTTTAACAACATTTCAAGCTTACATTTATTCTAGACTCCCTTTTAAACTCTCTCTACCTACTTATTTATTTGTTAAACTATGACCCTCATATATACACATTGGTACATTCTTACAGAACAATAAAATAAATATAAACAGCAGGGTGTGATCTGAGACTAGAAAGTGCATTCTGGTCAAGAACTGTGCAATTTGTTAACACTATTCTTCAAAAGGAAAAAAAATTTAGCGAGATACCAGCTTAGAAAGGACAAGCACATATGACTACTAACAGATCACGGAAAACAACCTACTTTGGGAAAGAGCTGGACTGAGTGAGAATATGAGAATAAGCACTGCCAAGAACATCCCGTACTCTTGGTAAAATCAGCACCAAGAACTGATTCAGTGATTAACAGGAAGAGCTACTGTTAAATGATAAATTAGTGTAATACAGCAGAGATGAAGTTTTAAAGGATTACAGAAATGATAGAACTGTTTGAGTCGGAAGGGACCTTTTAAGATCACCTTGCTCCAACCACCCTGCTACAGGCAGGAACACCTCCTGTCGTAAGGTGTCTAGCACCTTATGACAGTTTCAATACTCATGCAAATGCATGTTTTCAATATGTGAAGCAAAACAGGATTTCTGAAGTCAGGAAAGTAACAACAACAGAACAACTTATAGCCACAGTTTGCTCCAAGTCTCCTCTCTAGTAGATTGTTGATTAACAACAGTGACGAATCTGCATAAAGGACAAAAAATGCACTAAGTTCTCTTTTTCTCTGTTAATACAGCAGTGAAACTAGCTGCTAGATTCTGGATACTATTTTTACTACTTGGATTTGCTTATGAATATATATACATTTAGATATGTACATATACACACACAGTTTGATTTGTAATACAGTAATTTTATTTCAAGGACAAAACCCTAACAAAATTATTGCTATTAAACAATAGCAACAAAATAAAAAAATTAGATTTGTTGGTTCTGCTTATAAAACTGAGTTAACAGGATTACACATGCAAGCAATGCCAGATAGATCTGGCTTTTATTCATAGGAGAAATAAATATCAAATGTCATTAATGTGTTATATAGAAAATGAGTAATGTGTGATTCAAAAACACTATGAAAGAATACCTCAATTGCTGACTGTCAAACTGTGATAACTTAATCCTCACTATAAAAGCACAATATTTGCAAAATAGGATACTCAATTTTTCAAGTAAGGAAAACAGAAACTGGTTTGAACACGTCCATGTCTATTTCCACTTTAAGTAGTAAAGCCAGCTTGAAAAACAAAAAAATCTTCATTTTATTAGCTCTATTTCTAAAAAGCGACGAAAGTAATCTAGATTGAGCTAAAAAAAAAAAAAAAAAGAGAGAGATTAATTTAATTATTATTTCTATTACTGCAGTTGTTTTATAACAGAGCACAGAGAAATCAGAAGCAACGTGAGCTTTAAGTTGTACAATAAGCAGCTGATGATTATTCCAAGTAAATGGTTCATATCGCTAGCTCAGAAAATCCTCCAGGACCAGCTGGGACTGGGCAGAAAGCAGTCTGCTGCATGACAGGAGCAGGACTACTGTCAATACCACACTTGTCTGAGCCATCTGAGTCAGGAAAAGCTGAAGCAGTTTTCTATTTGCTGTGGCTACAGAAGCTCATGGGAGCCTACTGCCAAACCCAGCATTTACACTTGGGCTAATGCTCACATCATCCATGTGGCACTCACACAGACACCCACACTGCCTCTGATGCCCCAAATACGTTGCCCATATGAAAACTTAAGGACTGCAGTTTTAAAAATCTGTACCTTCACCATCAAAAGGATAGACATTAAGATCTGGCAGATATACTGTTGTAAAAAGCACAAAGTCAAACTGGGATGCAGTACTGCAGAAAGGAAGTGATCCCACAGATACACAAAGATTCCACATAAATATGAGAAGAAACTTCGCAGTGAGAGTAATAGAACACTGGAACAGGCTGCCCAGAGAGGCTGTGAGGTCTCCTCTGGAGACACCTGCCTAGATGCATTCCTGTGTGACCTAATCTAGGTGTTCCTGCTCCGGCAGGGGGATTGGACTAAATGATCGTTTGAGGTCCCTTCCAATCCTAATATTCTGTAATACCAGACGTACTGCTCAGTGTGGACATTATCTTCAGACTGAAGTCATTAATGTCCTTAATGTCCCCAAATCAAAAGAAAGGTATATACACAGACATACCAAAAACAGCAGGGTAGAAACCAGAGTGGGACATCACTTAATTCCCATGTGACAATAGCAAACACTGCATTGTGGGACCACATTTGAAAGTAGGCTAGGAAGAACAATGGCCCACATCACCATCCTACCTTGCAAAACACATGTAGGAAAGAATCACGGCCAGGTCAGATGGGCCCTGGGCAGCCTGATCTGGTGCATGGCAACCCTGTCCACTGTAGGTGGTTGGAACTGAATGATTATTAAGCTCTCTTCCAAGCCAAGTCATTCACTGATTCTATGATTCTTAGCCACTCCTTGTAAGCTCAGCTCAGAAAAGAACACACTTCACTGCACCACTCAGAGTGAAATGCAGCTCCTCCTCAGTGTGTGCCACAGTTTCTCCCAAGACAAAGTGCCCTGCCATTAGGCAGAATTACCTATAGTCTGCCGAAGCCATACCACCAAGACCAAGCAGAATCATGGTCTTGGGTTTGTACCAATTGTACTCCACATTTTGTCCTCCTCTCTGATGAAATCTAAGAACGATACAAAAAAAGTATTTCTGGTAATATTTGTGCTATAGCCTCACTTGTCAGAACAGGATTCTGCATTTCTAATCCTGCTAGGAACCTGAATTTAAGGTCACTATTAGTAGGCTAATACTTTCTAAATTAGTAAGCATTTTAAATATTAAAATATAATTTCCATTAAAGAATTTTGCAGAAGATAGCAAGCATCATAGAAAACATTTAATTCCCACCTCATGTTCTAGTACATTAATACTAAATAAACTGTTTCCGATTGTTCGCTGCATAGGACATGCCGTAGGCAGGGTGTGAACTGGCTTAACATATTGTCATCAATAACAATTTTCTTCAAGTGAAAAGGAAGTGGTGTGAACAATTCAAAAGATCACAGAAAAGATCACCTCACACAAACATTCACTGCCCTCCTGCTCGTGCTCACCAAGAAAGTGGTGAGCGTGGGTTCTTCCCCCACCTCCATCTTGTGCAAATAAGACTCTGCCCTTCTGCTCAGCAATTAGCAAATGGAGTAGTAATTATTTTTTTTATTAGAAATATGATTTTTAAAAAATTACATTACTGAAGTACACACAAATTAGTAAACAGACATACAATACACTTTTGAAAATCTCTTCAAAGACCTTAGAAACTGTCTGTTAGGATGGGATAAAGTATAATCTTGTCCTGTTTTCAGTAAACTATGCTTTCCTCACTTTAATTGTTTCCATTACCCCAGGGCTACGACAAATAACCTTATCTTTTGCATCTCACAACATGGACAATCCCCAAGCTTCTATTTCTCTTACCCAACTCTTAAAACTGCCGTTACATTATTTTAATCCAGATTTACAGCAATCTGTTCCACAGCCGTCTAGAAATTCAGACTTCCAAGTTCAGCAGACAAAGCACAAGGAGGGCAATTCTCCTAACAGCTTTACTGTTTATAAATAAATTAATTTTTTCCATTAACACCCCTTTGAGGTTTGAGATGAGCTACTGAATATAATCAGGTGAGTTCTTTGATTATGCTTTTCCACAAGCCCCTCTACTGAGAGAAATCCCACTCCACACAATTCAAGTTTTTGCTGGTCTTACCTTCAGAACACCTGAAACCTACGTACACTCCTCTGCTCATCTCACTCCCAGGACTCCTTAGCATCCCTTGCCATATCTACTATAATGAGTTACAAGCTTAAATCTCTTTAAAACTAGAGAATTATTAAAGCTAGTTTTCAAGATAGCAAAGCAAAACTGGCACCAGTCCCACTGATATATGCTCTTCTAGAGGACACCACAGGAGGCTGTAATCAAACCCCAGACCCTCACAGCTGCATTCACTTTACCCTCATCAAACCTGTTCTTAACAACATACTACAGAGAGCTGATGTCTTCCTATTCTACCCCATTTTCAAATAGAAAACACTGAAAACTGCCAGTAAAATCAACTTGCATAGCAAGCAAGCAAAAACCTGCCAGCCAGGGGGTAACCTGCACTGCCTTTTCAGTACCACCATAATCAGCAGTGTTGGCTGACAGCATTGTTCCCACTCAGCTTGTGGCCCTGCAGCCTGATGGGGCTGGCCCCCATTACCCTCCCAACAAACAGCACTGAGGAGCTGCTCTAGACTAGAGACAGCTTTTTTGACAAATTAGTTTAAACTTGAATCAATTCCTTAACTTAATTCACAGAACAGCCATATACTTGCACCACAAAGAAAACAGTGGAGGAGGGGAGCTTAACACCAGCATGAAACTGGAACCTTGATTACAACAGCTGTGTTTCAGCTGTAACAATAGCCCTGTTCAGCAGAGCAAATAGCATTACTGTACTTTAACTAGAGTGGATAATTTCACTGGATTTCTCTTTTCCTTCTATAAATTATGAGGTGAGATAGTCAAAATCAAGATCTTGTAGTTGCTTAGCTTACAATTCTAATACCCAAAAAACCTTTCCACAAGCAAGCCATGTAATCTGAAAATTATACAAAGGCACATCCTTACAGCAAATGGAAACAACTTGGACAAACTCATACCATCAAGAGGGAACAGACAGGCAGCGAGACACAGATTGTAGAGAAAACAAACAAAAAAAACATTTCCATAAGTATTCTGCGCCCCCAAGTGACAGGGCTCACTCCTTTTTAGTCCACTAACTATATAATCTACATTTTATTTGTCTACAAACTTTGAAACTGCACATTTAGAACATTTGGGGTTTTTTTTGAAAAGTGACAGTAAGAGATATATTTTTTTCCAGAAAAGCTTATCAGCTGCCATCCAAATATTCTAAAAATATATATTAAAATCTATGGTCTGCAGGAACAATCCCTCAGAAAGTAGCTGGTAGAGCTTTCTCAGCCACGATTGAAAGGGATTACCTAAAATCTTCCAACTGTGGTCATTACACTGAACACAGGTGTTTCAGAGCCACCTTGATACAAGGAATTTAAACCCTTTGTTTTCCACTAATTGAAAACTAGGTGGGCACCTGTTCAGTACGAGAGGTGGCCTCTGCAGCCCCATGGCATCATGTGCATGCAACCCCTAATGAAACTTCATAGATGAAGTTACAAATTATGCAGCTATAAGTTATGACCCACCACACAGAAAAAAATGCTTTATCTCATACTTAGTGAACTGAAGTTTGGAGCACTTCATGTCTGAATATTTCAGGCCTTTACTTCTTCCAGCATCTGTATTATTCAGTTCTCACACCTTTGGGTTTTATTATGCCTCCCTTTAATACTTTGCAACTTCAAAACACTGCTAATTTATTCTCTTGTATCATAAAAGTCATCCTGTATTTTTCTGACTTACTTTGAAGCACTATTTTCTATAAGCCAGTCTCACAGTGCTTTTTTTCCTATTTCTTTCTTCTTGCACCTGCTTGTTGAAATGCTTTTTCTTTACCATCCTCCCCCCAAATTCCCCAAAATGCAGCCTTCTACTACTCAGTGCGCATGTGTTAAAAGGGGACTATGATGAGAAGGAGTAAAGCATTTCTTTATGTTCGATTAAGTCAGAATGATTAATAAATAAAGGGATTATTTCAGATCTGTTCTCTTAGGTAGCACTGGCCCTCATGCCAAGTTATGCACTGAGAGAATAAAGTGCATGTGTCTTCTTTGCAACTTCCTTGAGCCCCTGGGTACTGTTATAACCTTGTGGCCATGGGCAAGAAGAGATAAGAAGCATTACTGAGGTTTAGTGGATACAGATTTAGTAAGGGAAGTATCACTCCCTCTCAGAGAGTAAGTTATACAAAAAAAAATTTCTTTTTTTTCTATCTAGGTTTTAGCACAAGCTGCTAAAATTTTCCTGCAAGGAAAATCCTCAGCAAAAACAAGAGTGTAGATGCAGACTACCATTAATCCCTGAATAATTTTGTCTGCCTGTAATTCGCTCTGACTGTACTTAACCGCTAAAATGCCATATAATTTTAAGCTTTATGAATGCAAATCTGTTTTGATTTGACCTATGTGGTGTCACATTTATGCTTGGATAGACAGATGCCAAAGCTTAGTAAAAGTTTGGTTCCACGGTCCTGGATAGCTGAAATCCTCAAATTTTACTACTTAGATATTGTTTTAAGGTCAAAAACTGGATATTACCAGTTTTTTACCAGTGTTTAATAGCTATGCTGTTGGCTCTTTAGAAAGATTATTGTTTATTAAGCATTTCAAAGAGTATCTTCAGCATTCTGGCACTGGAGAAGATCAAGATGTTTTTGGCCTATACCTTGTCTATCCTGGTCATTACAAAAGTAATAATTTTAAGTGCCATGACCTACACACCCTCCACATGGCAGTCACAAGTGAAAACTTGACTTACAAATGTGCAATCTTGCACTTATTTCAAACAAGTGCACCTGCAGACAAGCTGACTAACTTATGCACTTCAAAACCTTTTATATATATGTGTGTGTGTTTATGTATGTATGTATGTATGTATAAATTATTGCCATTCCACTCTTGGAGCCCCCAGAAAACAGGTTAATTTTCAGTTTAAAAAGAACTGTATTCAAGAATACGTGTTATTATTTGCATGCTGTCAAAGACTATTAGACTGAGCCATCTCAGTTTAGTTTTGCTTTTGACATCAGGAAGGACACGGGCCTAGGACTCCAGAAGTTAAAAGAACAGAGTTAAGTTTTCTGCCAAAATGCATCACATATTGGCAATTAAATAAAACCAGATGACTCAATAGAATACGCTGCTTCATACTTTAAGACAGCTCACTTTTTGGCTAATGTAACTTTCCATTGTTTCTTTTTAATCTGACATTATATGTTTATATGCAAATTCTTTCTGAAAAACCATTTTAGCATTTTATGAACTCCTGCTGTTTTCCATGAAACTGATTTTAATACAATGCAGAGTCTTCGTGCATTTGAAATGCATTCCAGATGGAAACAATTCAGTCAACATTTTTTCAGTTTTCAAAGCATTTCATATTTACTACATTTGAAAAAGTCTTTACTTTCAGATTCATTTTCAATATGTGAAATATTTGAGCATTTCAAGGTGTTTACTGTACACTTAACTACGAGCATTTACAACCTATTTGCTTCAAAGCAAGTTGATTACATAATACAAACTTCAGCTTTTAATAACATCTTATAATTTCTATTCTGTAAACTGAAATTACATTGGTACATTTCTCTAATGATTTAAAAACTTTCTCTTGCACACTGACAACTGGTTTCTTATACATGTTTCCATTAAATTTCAGCTCTTATTATAGGCTTGGACATTTCAGCACATGCACTTTTTATTTGTGAAGAGCAAAGAATATTCTCATTTGTCTTGAGACAGAGCTTACCTCATCTACTCATCACCACTTTTTTTTTCCTGTTCTATGTAATGTACTTTTTTATTTAAAAATCTGGAAGTTTTAGGATTTCAATATCACTTGTAAGATTTGTTCATTGAAAGATACTTTTTCCTCTTTGCCTTCACGTGCACAGTAGACTTGTCTCAGAATAGCACTTTACAGTACTATCTAAGGAAAAAAGCACAATCTAGATGATATTTTATCTTAAAGCACTACAGATTCAGTGACATCAGCAGTATTACAAAACTAATTGTAAAGAAGCACAACTGTGTTATGTTTTAGAGGCAAACATTCCAGAGCTTTCATGGAGCACTGCTAGTGCCATAAAGCACTTACCCTCCCTAGGTGGTCATCGCACTTTCTGTAAACACTCATGAACAGACTTCTACAGTTGTAGGGATTAGTGAAGTTTCTTGTGAACTGACCACCTTCGGCTACTGCCATTCATTAGAGGAACAAATCTTGTCTTTTCAGCAGAGACCAGAGAGGCTCTGGTGGGGTTTCCAAAACCCTGCTTCCAGGCCTGTCACAACCACAACAGGGGGACAGTTCTTGCATAGCTGTACTGATGTTTATTGCAAAAACACCTATGCAAAAGTAAAATCTAACTTACCAAAAGGAGGAGATTCTCTTCCGTCTTCTAATCCTGAATCTCGTTCTCTGTCTCTTTTTCTGTGTTTATGTCCACGGTGCCTATGGCGCCTGTGACTTTTTCTTCCACCCAGTGGCACGTGAACGCCAATGAACAATGTTCGATGACCTATAAATAGAAAAAGAGTTACCTTTTAAAAAGAGGCTGTGGCAAAATAACTATACCATCATTAATTATTAATAATTACAATAATTTCTATAATTGCAATGGTATAAATCAGTATAATCATTGTAATATTATTAATTACAATAAAGATGTGTAGAGCCACAGATATACAGCTTCCTGACACAGGACAATATCCCAGTTTGGAAGTCCACATGATACAGTGCCAGATTTAGAAAAAAAAAACCAAAAACTGCATCTTTGTGTGTGAACTTTGATTAAAGACAGGTGTTCTGTAAAATATCTTCCAAAACAGTAATATCTAGACACACAGATCTCTTAGCATTGAACATTTGGTAAAATCGCTGCTTGCCTTGTGTGTGAAGGAACTTTACAAAACTCATTTTTATTTATGAGCCAAACCTTGACAGAATTCTTCGGGGAAATTTACTGAAGAAAGAAGGAAAAAAAAGACTGAAAAAAAAAAAAAGACAATAAAACACTATAGAAGCTAGACTGCAAAATCTCTATGCAAGTTTATGTGCTCATGTTATAAATATATAGTTGCTAGCTTAGGGTGGTTTTTTTTTCTTTTTTTCTTTTCCTTTTTTTTTTTTTTTTAATAAATGAGAAAGTACATCTTGCCATCCCTGCCATCATCTTTGTGCTTTGAGCCTGAGGAATTTATGTTCCTGATCAAGCCCAAGAGATTTAGCTCCCTCAACTGTGTAGACTAGCAAATTCTGAGCACAGTTAAGCATTCAGAAGGAGAGCACAGGGGAAACATGCAGAAACTATCACAGAACAAAAGGGAAATGAATCATGACTCACTACAGGCTGGTCTCCTACATTTACTCAGCAGAAAGACACAGTCCAGATTACTCATCTCAAATAACATCTATTTTCTCCTTGAAATGAGCATAACATAGCTAGTGGATAATTGCTGCTTTGCTGTAATCATTCAGCACTGTCAATCATCTGAAAAAGGCCAAGAACATTAAGCTAAGGTAGCACATGATCTATTATCTCACGGAGCCTTCAGTGGGGGTAGAAAACACAGCAAGGCAACTATTTGCGATAATACACCAAAGAAATTCAAGGCTAACAGGAATCCTCAGCAGAGACAAAACTAGAAAAGCTGGAGAGCAGGCTCTGGACACTACCTTAGTTTATTTCTTTAACTATATGCATAGAGGAGACTAGAAAGCAGAACCACCAGCTCTGAGTAAACCATTCTTTTAGAGTCAAGACATTTTCCATAAGGAGAAATTATTTATTTTACCTATCTCATTCCTCTTGCTTATTACATGTAGCTTAAGAAATGATTTAAAGAAAACTACTGCCTTTGGTGTATTCCAAATGCATTATAATCAGTGATGCATGAAACAAAGAAACATGTATTCCATAAAAATAATTCATTAGAAAGATATTGAAAGGCAGCAATAATGTAGTACTTAACACTTTCTTGTTCACTTTCTTCAGTAGAAAAAAAACTTCAAAATAATATTTTGAAAGGATTTTAATCATTTCCACAGGTGCAAATGGATCACTTTTTTAAATTTAGTAATTTAATAATGATGGTTTTTGAAGAAGTGGATATTCTTATCCTAGTTTGTGCTACTTCAGTACTCAGGTGTATTTATGTCAGAAGTGCAGATTCAGGTTCACACTTCACCTCATTTCCCGGCTGAAACCAGGACTTGAATCTAGACTGTTTTCTATTCAATAAACTGGGAAATACCTCTTAAAATGCCAAGCGTCTGAAGAGCAAGATAATTTTCTCAATGCAGACTGAATTAGTTCATGCTGAAGAGAAACTGAAGCCAGAAACTGATATGAATTACCAGTAAAAAACAAAATTGATTCCTTCTGTGCAAATGTAGAGGCCAAGGAATAATTTCAACATACAAGGGAATCCATGTCCTTGTAATGAGGTACACTCAAATAAGAGGAAAAAGAAAAAAAAAAAAGAAAGAAAGAAATGCACAGGGGAAATAGTTTTCTATAGAGAAATGGTGGAGCAAAAGTAAAAAATCTGATTAAGTAGTTCGCTTTAATAAAAGAGCAAATATAGAGGGAAAAAAGAAGAAAAAGAAGATCAGCTGGGAACAAATGATGAATTCCAAATGATGAATAGAATTCTAAATAATGAATTCTAAACTGCTGGCAAAATGACAGTAAGCAATAAAAGTTGGGGGGAAGGAAAAAGAAACTAAATACAATCAATAAGATGATCTTATTTTTGATGATACAGCTGATAAAATTTAGAATCAGAACATAAGCTACCTTTTCTTGTTCAAGTAGACTAAGATATTAATAAAAAATTGTTTCTGGTGAGATGTACATGTTTCCCAAGCCCAGTATGCCAACGACAACACTATCTCGCAGGCTCCAGTATGGAGCAGGACAGTTCCTCTGATGGACTTCTTGTTGCCTTAACTCTGGAGATGTGCATCTATACCTGTTCCAGTGAAGTTCTTCAATACATTTTTTTTTCTCCCTGAAGAATTATACCACTTGAACATGAAAGTAATTTGAAGATGAGCATAATTAAGAACTATGCTTAATATAAAATTTATAACAGAAATACAAAGTTAACTTTTATATCAACACTCTAGAGGAAGGACTTTTTCCAAAGCAACATTTTACCCAACATTTTACATTTTAAGAGAAACTTTAAAAGATTTGCTTTTATTCCCAACACCATATGCAAATTCCAACAATAAACTGGACTCCATCATTTTAATGCTGGATACAAAAGCAGCTATTTTATGCACTTTTATGAATACATGTTGTGAATAATGCCTGAACATCACAAAATTACATGGGAAAATTCCAAATAACACCAAGGGAATCACATTTTTTCAAAGTGGATGGGACCCAGGGTAAACTGACCTAGTAGGTGGCATCCCTGCCCACAGCAGGGATGTTGGAATTAGATGGACTTTAAGGTTCCTTCCAATCCAAGCCATTCTATGCAATGCTAGGTAAAGAAGCTTGTTGGTTGTTAGGTTTGTTACAGACATTGTTATACCTTCAACATCTATATTATTCCTATTTATCCTTAGTTAGTTGGCTTTGGTGTACTGATCTCAGCTGGAACAGAATTGATTTTCTTCATAGTGGCTGGTGTGACGCTATATTTTGGCTCTGGGAGAAAAGTGATGCTGATAATACACAGAAGCTTTAGTTGTTGCTGAGCAGCAACGAACAGAGACAAAGATGCTTCAGCTTCTCACGTAAGCCTGACAGCAAGAGGACTGAGGATGCACAAATTGCTGGGACAGGACAGAACCAGGACAGCTAAACTGGCTAAGGGGGATCTTCCATACCATATGACATCATGTGAAACTACAGAGCTGGGGAGAGTTGGCCAGGGAGGCAGCTGCTGCTTGGCAGCTGGCTGGCATCAGTCAGCAAGTGGTGAGCAAATGCATTGTGCATCACTTCTTTTGTAAATATATACTTATATCTATATATCTTTATATATATATGCACACACAAACACTATATGTATACGTATATACAAAGCATATATATATTAAATACACAAACACATATATATATATTTTAAGGTTAGGATATACTACCATTATTTTTCCTTTCTTTTTCTGTCTTAGAGAATAGATTTTTGTTTTCTATCTTTTTTTGTTTTTGTTTGTTTGTTGTTTGTTTGTTTGTTTTTGAGTTCTCTCATCCATCCTGCTTGAGGAAGCAGGGTGGAGTAAGCAAAGAGCTCAGCAAAGTGTACTGAGTTGTCTGCCAGGTTAAACCACAACAATTGGTTTGGTTTTCCTCTGCCATTTTCTTATGCACTGTCCTGCAATGATAAAAGCCTAAGAAAAGAAAACCATTTTTTTATTCTGTACTTCTGTGCATGTGTGCACAGATACCTACTCATAGTCAGGTCCAGGGAAATACATACGGATGAAATGCACTCAAGTACACACATGCAGATTTGTGGTTTGGGAGAGAGTTAAGAGGTTAGCCTATTGTTTTTTCTAGAATAAAAAGCAGCTATAATAGATGAAAAAGGATTCATCCTACTAATACTTATTTTAAAATAAATAAATTTTATACAAATTTATTCCTCTCCATATTTCAAATTAAAAAAATCAAAATTAATTTAGACATCAGTGAGCCACAAGATTTATCTGTGTTTCTAAGCCTTTTCAGCTAACCTTACATTAACATCAACCAAATTTTATCATGGAAGGAATGGGTTTTTTTTGTGCAAAAACACAAGGTGAACTAAAATGTTAATTTATTTCTTATGTGCTAATAGGAAAACTAAACCTAAGTATAAAATGTTTTAAGCATTAGGACTTAGATGCAAACCAATTTTTAAAAATGAACTTCTGAGAAATTACTTTAATATTCAAAGTTTATTTACAATCTGAAAGCTTATTAAAGAAATACAGTAGATTGAATTGACCTATTCTGCAATGTCACCTTAATGCAGTGCCAGAAATGCACTATATATATCATTCCACTATATATATAAATTTACTCAAAGAAAAAAAAGATTGTTCTTAATCGACTTGCACATACCTAAGGAATAAAATCTAGAATATAATTTTAAATCTTTGCTTTGATAGGAAAGAAGGCTTTGGCTCCATGAAATTTACCTTCAAAGCATTAAAACACTCCTTAAGCAAAATATCTAAAGTATTAAAGAAATAATAAGCCTTATTATAATGTGTTCTTTTGAGTTTTATAGAATTATATTAATAAATCCAACTTGCGTTATAAAAGATTTTAAAATTATAATTAAGTTCAGAGAGCATATAAGCATACATAAAATCAAGATTTCCTCTAAATTTTTGAACAAAAGGGGGGTATTATTTTGCTGTAAATATCTGCCCTTCCTCTCTATTATTGCCCTAGAAAAGACAGAAATGAAACATGTATTATTAATATAAAAATGTCTTGCAGAGACATTTCCAAAATAAAATCTAAGTAGAATTGTTATTTAGGATTGCTGTATTCCACAGAAGAAATTTTCC